TGAGCATTGTTTCTGACCATGTCCATCCCTTTATGGCCACCATGTACCCATCCTCTGATGGCTACTTCCAGCAGGATAATGCACCATGTCACAAAGCTCTAATCATTTCAAATTGGTTTCTTGAACATGACAATGAGTTCACTGTACTAAAATGCCCCCCATAGTCACCAGATCTCAACCCAATAGAGCGGGGGTCAGCAACCTTTTTGTCATAAAGTGCCATTTTTAAGTTTCCGAGTTCATCACTGTGCCACAACCCATATCCCATATATTTCAAGAGTGGCATCAACACTGGTAAGATAATTTACTGTGACTACTTTAATGAAGACAACTGTGTGTTAAGCTTCAGAATGTAAGCTGAACTTTCAGTTTCATTTTCATTCGGCTTGCTGAAGAGATGCTCAGCCATATCTGAGGCGATGCGTGTTGCAGCAGCCCTATCATATCTGGAAACTGGGAGCCGTTATGACGCGCTCTCGCATGTTATTATTATTATTATTATTTTTTACCATTTAGGAAGAGTAAAATTTACATTTGTGACTTTAACAATCAGATGTATTTTGTTCAGTTTCATCTCGAATATGAAAAAGTGTCCTCTCTGTCGGAGGGCATTTGTCTCACGATTGGATAGCTTTCCGATCAGAGAAAACACATGAAGTGACCAGGTACGCATGAACGGAGTTTCCACATGCATCACAGTCATTTTAATATGTATAGAATGTTTAATAAGGACTCTATACACTTGGTTGAAATGTATAGCATTAACTATTTACAGCGGAACGAGCTGTAAGCTGTCAGTTGGATAACTTATTTGCGCTGAGGCGCAGTGGTTTGGTTTGTTAGAGCTGCACGCTTTCATTGACTTGTGCAGTTTAATTCTCACACTTTAATAGTATAAATAACTCCTAACTTAATAAAACAAGCTGTTACTACGAGGAATTATTACATCAAAATGTTGATCTGTATGCAGGTGGTGGGAGGTATGCTACTTTATCTGAATGAAATCTCTCGCGCTTGCTTGCGTGTCAGCGATTAACCCTCCGCGTGCCAGTGTTGGCACGGGTGAACGTGATTTCACCAAGTACCACATGTTCCTGGATCAACATCTTTGTTGATCCTGGATCAACTTTCCAATCAACCAATCAGATTTGAGGGACAAGTTTACAGTTTATGTCAAGTTTAGGCTTAGAACCAGCGTGAAGTACTTAAACATCAGTGCTATTCACCTATCATTACCCTCTGATTTTAGGGAAAAGTTATGGGTAGGGTTAGGTTTAGGGGTAGGGATTGGGTAAGGACTACATTTTGGGACAGGAATGTTGATCCAGGATCTGGGCATAACGGTTTAAATGAACAACAATAAACAAATGTTAAGTGCTGATCAAGAGTTTTGTGCAAGCAATTTAAGGTTGCGACTCTTGTCCTAAATATAGCAGGCTTCATTCAGTGATTGAAACAAATATTATTAACATTAATTGAAGTTTTACAGTATAAAGAACCGACATTGAACGCTCCGAGCGAGCTGTGCTGTGGTAAACTGCTGCTATAATGGCTATTTCGGGGGCGGGCTCTGACGTGTATGATGTAATGCTAGCTCATTGGCGCACACGTTGGAGGCGCCCGCGCCTTTGGATGTGCAGTTGCCGCAGCACAGCCAATGAGTGAGCCAGACAGTGAGCTGGAAAATGCGTTTTACATTTTAAGCTTCAGAATTTTGCCAATCGCAAAGCAGACAGCCGCGCCTCTGCTACCGCGGGCGTGTTTTTCCACATTCGAATATTAATTTTCACCTTCGAAGTTCTGTTTTTTAAAACTATTCGAATATATATTCGAATTTAGAATATTCGTTGACAGCCCTAGTGGCCACTCCCCCTCTCACACTGCACACTGAGGCCACTCCCCCTCTCACACTGTGCACTGAGTGGCCACTCCCCCTCTCACACTGCACACTGAGTGGCCACTCCCCCTGAGGCCACTCCCCCTCTTGCACTGCACACTGAGGCCACTCCCCCTCTCACACTGCACACTGAGTGGCCACTCCCCCTCTCATGAACACTCCCCCTCAACATTGCACACTGAGTGGCCACTCCCCCTCTCACACTGCACACTGAGTGGCCACTCCCCCTCCAGGCTGCACACTGAGTGGCCACTCCCCCTCTCACACTGCACACTGAGTGGCCACTCCCCCTCTCACACTGCACACTGAGTGGCCACTCCCCCTCCACACTGCACACTGAGTGGCCACTCCCCCTCCACGCTGCACGCTGAGTGGCCACTCCCCCTCTCACACTGCACACTGAGTGGCCACTCCCCCTCCACACTGCACACTGAGTGGCCACTCCCCCTCTCACACTGCACATTGAGTGGCCACTCCCCCTCTCACACTGAGTGGCCACTCCCCCTCTCACACTGCACACTGAGTGGCCACTCCCCCTGAGGCCACTCCCCCTCTCACTGCACACTGAGTTGCCACTCCCCCTGAGGCCACTCCCCCTCTCACACTGCACACTGAGTGGCCACTCCCCCTCACACTGTACACTGAGTGGCCACTCCCCCTGAGGCCACTCCCCCTCACACTGCACACTGAGTGGCCACTCCCCCTCTCACACTGCACACTGAGTGTGGCCACTCCCCCTCACACTGTACACTGAGAAGCCACTCCCCCTCTCAAACTGCACACTGAGTGGCCACTCCCCCTCTCACACTGCACACTGAGTGGCCACTCCCCGAGGCCATTCCCCCTCTCACACTGCACACTGAGGCCAATCCCCCTCTCACACTGCACACTGAGTTGCCACTCCCCCTGAGGCCACTCCCCCTCTCACACTGCACACTGAGTGGCCACTCCCCCTCACACTGCACACTTAGGCCACTCCCCCTCTCACACTGCACACTGAGTGGCCACTCCCCCTGAGGCCACTCCCCCTCTCACACTGCACACTGAGTGGCCACTCCCCTCACACTGCACACTGAGTGGCCACTCCCCCTCTCACACTGCACACTGACTGGCCACTCCCCCTCTCACACTGCACACTGAGGCCACTCCCCCTCTCACACTGCACACTGAGTGGCCACTCCCCCTGAGGCCACTCCCCCTCTCACACTGCACACTGAGTGGCCAATCCGGAAAATAAACATTATGACATTAGAGGGTTGTGGTTTAAAAATATCTGAATATTATATTTTATTCACGGCCATCATTTGTAGTAGCCTATTCACAAACTGTTTGCTCAAGCGTAGCGTTTTCTCTGAGTTCACTGTGTTGCTCCAGCCCAGGTCTGAACCTCCCCTGAATCGTCGCGCTTATTCATTTGTGGATGTTAACTGAATCTGTAAGTCAGCTACACTGTTTAATTCTGAATATTATAATTTATTCTGATGCGCTTAACGTTATCGTTTTCTCAGAGTTTAGGCTCCTGTGTAATAGTAGCATAGACTATTCAGCAACTCAAACATACCAAACCAACAATTACTAAAACATATTTTGCACGGGCATTGCACTAGTAATAATAAATTTGGCTTGTTCGACTTCAGCAGCGCCGACGCCACGTGACTGTGACGTATGCCATCAAAGTACCGCGAGAGCAGCGGCTGGTTCAGCACCTTTTGAGATGCGCCTTGCCTCGCCTGACATGTAGTCGAGAGTAGGCGGCTGCAGTGAGGGGAGGAGTGAAGAAAGCGCAGGCAAGCCGGACAGATCTTTCTTCTCGCAGTGGATCTGACATCGGCGAGATCAAATACTGATATCGCGGGATTTACGGGATTCACGCCCGTGCACGGTATTGCTAATAAACTGGATGTAATTTAAGTTCTGTTGCTTTTATATGAAAATAAATATAATGAACAAGACACCCAAAGTATTTCCAAATGCGTGTTTATCAATCATTTTTTCTTTAATACAGACATGTGTTTTTATATATATTTTTTAATAAAAATGACATTACATAACCTATATCGCATTGTCAGAAAGTTTATTCACACATAAAATACTTATACACATAAAACATGATATCAGAGTTTTAAAATCAAACATTTCAAAAAGGAACAATACATCACAGTTGTTTAAACCAATGAGCATTAAGCTGTGTCGTCAGCAAGTCGTTTCCCATCGTGCTTTTGATCAGCGCAGTCGGTGGAGAGCAACTGTGCGCGACTGCAGAATCCGACACGTGCGCTTGCGCTCGCGAGAGTTTTTTGACATACGTCAGCATGACATCAGAGCAAGGCGGACTGCACTCATAGACAGTAAAAACCAAGGGGGTAATCCATCGACCGGAAGTTGAAGTCGGCCGGGTGCCGCCATCTTGTAGCAGAACTTCACTTGCGTTAGCATTTCCATTGACTCCCATTAATTTTGGCGTCACTTTGACAGCGAATAACTTTACATCTGAGGCGTTTAAAGACTCCATTTGTCCATTATTTGTTTCTAAAGAAACACGACAATGCATAAAAGGCTCCATTACCTTCTATGTTACGTTATGGCCCCGTAGAAACAGATTTAGTAAAAATAGGCTAACGATTGCGTCATAACCACTCGACTCTCTGTCGCGCTGTACAGAAATTACCGTACAGACAGAAGTAGAAACTCGCGCGCAATCGGGGGGACGTCGAGGCATAAAGTCAAAGGAGAAGCCCATAGAGAGTTGTAAAGCTGCTCCTGCTTCGAGCTCATGGACAGCTAATACTCACGATCTCCGGCTCTGCAAGTTTCGGAAGGGAATGATTCAGATTCCTCTTGGCACAGCTACTAGAAGATTAACGTCTGTCAGACAGGTTGCTCACGTCATCAAGCTTAGTTTGAGTCGGTTTGAGTCTGCGCGTCAGGAACGAAAGTGCTCAAAAATCGCTAAAAATGGGCTTCAACTGTCTCAACTGAGTTCCAATGAGATGGCTCTGTCCATTTCTTTTACTGTCTATGGTAAAAACCCGGTCACTTCCACCCGCGCCATTAGCTGCCGCTTCCTTTGTTCAGAGAGTAGATAAGCTTCAGCACGCGCAACATGGATGCTAATAACAAGAGGAAGAGCAGCAGCGGGGACAGTAAATATCTGCCGGAGTTACTGGCGGAGAAAGACAGCCTGTACTTCTTGTTCACGCACGCGATGAAACTCCTGAGTCCAGAGATTGAGGGGGTTCAGAAGGGTGAGCCTAAAAAAGAGTCTGAGACATACCTGGATCTGTTCACTGCCAAGAACGTGAGGGTGAAAGAGCGAGTGCTCATTCCCGTCAAGCAGTACCCTCGGTTTAATTTCGTGGGGAAGATTCTGCGGCCGCAGGGCAGCACCATTAAACGTCTGCAGGAAGACACCGGGGCAAGGATCTCAGTGCTCGGCAAAGGATCCATGAGGGATAAGAACAAGGAAGAGGAGCTGAGGAAGGGTGGTGATCCGAAGTATGCACACTTGGCCATGGAGCTGCACGTGCACATCGAGGTTTTTGCTCCCATTCCCGATTGTTACCTGCGTATGGCACATGCCATGGATGAGGTCAAGAAGTTCCTAATGCCTGTGGATGGTCATGATGAGATGCATCCGGATGCTTTCATGGATCCAGGGTTTTTGAATGGCTCCCAGGATATGTCTGGCCACGGCAGAGGTCTCGGTCCTCCTGGTAGAGGTCGTGGTGGCCCACCACCCCCTAGGGGTCGCGGTATGCCCCCTCGTGGAGCGCCACGTGGAGGAGCTCCAAGAGGAGGTCCAGGGCGCGGAGCTGCATCACGAGGAGCCCCTGTGGAACGGGGTGGTCCTCCACCCTCCACACCAACCAGAGGAGGAGGTGCCTCTCGATCAAGACCACCAGCCCCGACTCAGAGGATGACACCAGCATCTGCTCTCTCTCACCAACAGCACTCGGCCAAACCTGAAGCTTACGGGGAATATGCCTATGAAGAACCATATCCAGAGGCTGCCTATGAAGGATATGAGAGCTACTACAGTCAACCTGCACCACAGCCAGACACAGAGTATTATGACTACGGTCACGGTGAGGCACAGGAGACTTACGAGTCTTACAAAGATGACTGGGAAGGCGCCGCTTGGGGTGGTGCTGGGGGAAAGGCACCGGCTGCCCGCAGGGCAAGTCATTACGGGAGCACTACTCTTTACGTAGGACGATGACCATTTATAAGTTCAACATGACACGTTTTAGATTTGCGATTAAATGCTGTGCTTATATTCTCTTTGCATTTGTTTTACTTGTTTTTGTTTTTTTTATTAGTTTTCTTTTAATGGTTAAGTGTTTCTTCTCTGAAAAATGGATACCTGAATGCTAGATAATTAGCTGATGTCCATGTGTAAAGTGACTTGCTAAAAAAAAAGAAAATTGCCTGTTAATATCACTTAGATTGATTCCAAACGCGCTTTTTGTAAGGCATAACAAAAAAATTGAGGGATGCTCAAAAAAACATTAGTTCCTTTACAAACCAATATGTTACTTAGTTTTCAAATGAACAAATTCCATTTGGTTTGAGGCTATTTATTGTTTGAAAGTCTCGTGAAAACATTCAAAATTCGCATCTGCTGATTCCTTTTGTTAAATGAGCAAAACAAATATTCCAAAGGTTCAAGTTTACTTCTAGACAGGTAAAAGTACAGCCCTCTCAAACCTTTGTACGTACAATATCCAAATTTTAGACTTGTTTTTAGTTTTGCAGTTTCCGTAATATTAGCAAAGTTGTGTGCATTGCCTAACTAGGGAACTCAAAATGTGTCCCCTCGATCGTCACGCCGGAAGACGGTCTGGTTGTTGTTATGGACAGGAGCTGCAGGTTCGGGGAAATATGCTGCCTATTGTTGTTGTGTTTACATATGACTCAGTAAAGCCCGGACATTCTGTTCTATTTATTTAATGAATCATAATGCGATCGTATTATTTAGCTCGCTATTATTAGCCTATGTTTGAGACATCAACCACTGGTCGATGAACATAATGATAATTACACTTAAATATTTTCTTCTCAGCCATGTTAACAATTGTCCGTGAGCGAAATCTCCTCCCATCCGTTGTCTGATTGGCCTTTCGCAAGGACTCCTGGGTAGTTAAAGTGCGTGGAGCCTGCATCTATGTGGGCTTCGCGGAAGACCGCTTCAAGGGTACACAGGGGGCGCTGCTGAGCACACTTCAGAGCGTTAACATGCTAAATGGGACGGCCAACGGACTCGTAGACTCGGCAAGCACGCGCAATTTAAGTCCACGAGACCGAAAGTCCGCATGAAGTGCGCCATTTGGGACAGGGCCAGAGACAGGTGCCGCTTGACTCGGACACATTTCTAACCGGCATGCATCTCGCGCTGATCACCGGTGATCGGTTCTGCGCAGATTTTGCTCATCTCAAACAAGCCTTTTTTAATTTTATTTTTTAATTAATGCTTAATACAATACACAAATAATAACAGATAACAGAATACAAAAACAACACCCAAAAAATTAATAAATAACAATGGGGGGATAACATAAATTAAACATATTGATACATTATAAGAATTACATGACACTGAAAAAAGGAAAAGAATTACAAACAGATAATGTTTTTAAGGCTTTTTTGTTCTCAGACAACTTAATTGAAAATAGATATTTTTCAAGTTCTTTAACAAATATAAGAAAGAGAGGTTTGGCATTTAGATATTTAGATTTATGAATATGGAATTTTGCTAGTAATAAGATCCGTATTAATTACGTAAAAATTACCTTTTTTAGATTTATCACAATCAACAAAGCGGACCACATCCTTCCAATATAACACACAGCACGAGTTCTGATGACGACACAGCTGTTCCGCGATTGGCCGAACACACATGACAACGATCACATGTGTTTCGGTTTATTTTTACAGTCTGATTTTCACACCTTCAGTCATTCAGTTTTTTATAACAGTAAAAGCTTTTTTCATGTAGTCGCGATGTTATATTGTGTCTATATCTATGATCATCAAAATAAAACTGATTAAAAAAAACGTCGACCCCACTTCATTGATAGAGGCCTATGTTGAACTTTATTCTTGTACAAACAGACTTACATTCAAGCTATTTTAAGGCATGATTTTTTTTCCACAGGAAAAACGTTTAAATATGTAATTTTGGTGATCAAAGATGAGTTTTAAGGGATAACATTATTGACGACAGGGGGACTTTAAGTTATTTGTGTAACACAACCGCAGCGTTGCCTCAGCGGGACTTTTATTTTGAAGTGCTGTCAGCCGCGGCTTCCGGTTGTGTGAAAGCATGCTCGTCATTGAGCGCAGCTGTTTATGGTCTTCTTCAGGTTTATTCGTACGACCTGCACACTTTTAAATACTTCATCTCATACACGAAACTTATTTAAGAGTGTCATCATGTGTAAAGAGCTGAAGACGAGAGTCCTGCGGATTCCACCTCTCGACTCAGAGGATCTGACGTCACAGCAGCGCGGTAAGACTCGCTCAACTAAGTTAGAAATCTCGCTTATGATATCCGTCGATAAACAAAGACTTCTGGGTGTTATTTTGCTGTCTATGGTTTCTGCTCATGTTTCATAACCCAGACTTTCATTGATCTTTTACAGGAGTTACTTTTGGCCCTGTGGACTAATAGAAAATAAACGCGCTCCTAAAATTTGAAAGATAATTTTCATACAGTAACGTTAACTTGTGGTTTCTGTGTGTAAATTGTCCTCCAAAATGTCCAACGGTGACTTTAATGTTTTTACTTCAGTGTCATTTCTATTAAACTTAAAGGGAGTTCATGAGCCTGCAGAAACATGCTGTGGTCTAAATTACATTTTAAATACTTTTTTTGGGGGGTCATATTTTGTCATATTTTGTTAAACTACATTAGTCATGATGTAGCTGGCAATTTATAGCTGGCAATTTCTGTATTAAATGACATATAATTAAATTTTACCTTTTGTTTTTGCATAATTTGCTTGTTTAAAGGTGACCACTTATTAACAATATTATTGTGCAGTTTTAATATCAAGCATGTTCTTTATGTGAAGTATGAAACGCTACATATACTTTTTACTTTACTTTGGGCGAAATGGTTGGTGATCCAACAGATAATTAAATAGATAATGATTAAATTAGATTAAAATAAATAAATAAAAACAAATAAAACTTGTTTTAAACAAAATAATAAATCAATTAAAATAAGTAAAAGATATTGATTTGTATATATATTTGATTTAAACCAATAAAAGTTAATACATCTGATTAAATTAAATAACTTAAATTTCATCTAAACAAAACAATAACTATATATAAATACAACTTTGATTAAAATAAATAATAAAAATAACTAAAAAAGAAAATCAATGGTAAAATAAATAAAAAAAGATTAAAGTTAGGAAATGAATAAATAGATTAAAATAAAAAACTGCATAACATAAATGAAGTACAATTTAAATAGATAATATATATGCATAGAATAAATGCATGAACAAAATACATATCTTACATCTGCAAACTTACAGTGAGTAAAATAACGCTGTAATGTAACGTAGTAAGACTAATAAAAAAACTAAATACTTTACACATTTATAATATGATTTTTTTAACAGCATTAAATGGGTCGTTATACATAAACAAACACAGCCTATAGGCTAGCTATCTTTTCAATTTTAGGATGAGGGTCACTCACGTGCAAATGATCATATTTTGGGATTGTAAAGATTGAGAAGCCCTGAGCTATAGTAGGATTGATGGATCTGACAATACGAGGTGTTTGCAGAAATTAAAATAGACAAAGCAAATGTTTCCAAGACTTTCAATGTGAGTCTCATTTACCAATAATAATAAAATGTGAATGTTGGAGCCCGTGGATGTGCCTGTAGCTTTAAGATGCATTTGTTTGCCATGGTTTCCTATTCTCTCTGTTCCTCCCGGTTGTGTGTGTCAGTGTGTTCTGATCTGTGTTCCTCCCGGTTGTGTGTGTCAGAGTGTTCTGATCTGTGTTCCTCCCGGTTGTGTGTGTCAGTGTGTTCTGATCTGTGTTCCTCCCGGTTGTGTGTGTCAGAGTGTGTTCTGATCTGTGTTTCTCCCGGTTGTGTGTGTCAGAGTGTTCTGATCTGTGTTCCTCCCGGTTGTGTGTGTCAGAGTGTTCTGATCTGTGTTTCTCCCGGTTGTGTGTGTCAGAGTGTGTTCTGATCTGTGTTCCTCTCGGTTGTGTGTGTCAGAGTGTTCTGATCTGTGTTTCTCCCGGTTGTGTGTGTCAGAGTGTTCTGATCTGTGTTTCTCCCGGTTGTGTGTGTCAGAGTGTGTTCTGATCTGTGTTCCTCCCGGTTGTGTGTGTCAGAGTGTTCTGATCTGTGTTTCTCCCGGTTGTGTGTGTCAGAGTGTTCTGATCTGTGTTCCTCTCGGTTGTGTGTGTCAGAGTGTGTTCTGATCTGTGTTTCTCCCGGTTGTGTGTGTCAGAGTGTGTTCTGGAGGCGCTGAGGTCCACGTCAGAGGCTCTGGGGAATGGGCAGGTCGTGGCTCTGCCCACCGACACCATCTACGGCCTGGCCTGTGTGGCCCAGAACTCCTCCGCCGTACGAAGGGTTTACGACATCAAGGGCCGGAACGGGGACAAGCCTCTCGCCATCTGTGTCGGGGAAGTGCAGGACATATACAGGTGCAGGTCTCCAGCAGCGCCTTCAACTCTCGCGTGCTCTTCCGGACATTTAAGCTTTTTTTCCTTTTTTTTTTTTTACTTCATTGGAATTAGTACTTGGTAAAGGGAAGCTTGTTTCCGCCACAGAATGAAAAATAAAAAAGGTAATTGCGACTTTTTATCTCGCAATTCTGACTTTATTTCTTACAATTGCGTGAAATAAAGTCACAATTGTGTGATATAAACATGAAGTTCTGAGAAATATACTTGAAATTCTGAGTTTTTCTCTCAGAATTGCATGTTTATATCTCGCAATCGCAAAAACTTTATAATACGCAATTGGGTGTTATAAATTCAGATTTGCATGTTAAGTCGCAATTGTGAGAAAGAAAGTGAGAATTGTTAGTTTTTTCTCTTGCAATTCTGACTTTATATCTCGCAATTCTGAGAAATAGTCACAATTATCTTTTAATAATGTTTTATTCTGTGGCGGAAACAAGCTTCCATAGGTTTTGGCATTTGCTGTGCGAATGCAAAAAAAAAAACATTGGACATGATTCGAAAAGGTTAAACGGTCCTGAAAAAAAAAATAGTCACACTTGTTCTGTTTCGTGGTCAAAAATGAATTTCACAAATTTCTTCTAGTGGAAGCGTTTGGTACTGCAGCCAAAAAAAAAAAAAAAACTCACTGAAAGCTCATTTTTTTTATGTTACGAGTCATTTCTATTTCAAATAATGTATCACAGTTCCCACAAATATATTGATGATAATCATAAACGTTTCTTGAGCATCAGATCCTCATATTAGAGTGATTTCTGAAGGATCATGTGACACTGAAGACTGGAGTAATGATGCTGAAAATTCAGCTTTTGATCACAGGAATAAATTACACTTTACTATATATTCACATAGAAAACAGCTGATTTACATTACAATAATATTTCACAATATTTATTGTATTTTTGATCAAATAAATGCAGCCTCTGTGAGCAGAAGAGACATGGTTTTGTTGTTGCATGTGTTTATTGACGTTGCATCATGGTATTATCCTTCATGTGTGATGTAATGCAGTGATATTGATGTTGAGTCACTGCATGCATGCTGAAGGTCTCCTGTGGTGTGCGGCTGGTTCTGGTGTGTGCAGGTTCTGCCGTGTGTCTGTGACGGAGGATCTGCTGTCGGATCTGCTGCCGGGACCCGTCACACTCGTTCTGGAGAGATCACACACACTGAACGCCGATCTCAATCCCTTCACTAAGGTTAGGATCTGTGTGCGGAGAAACACCCCTCGACCTAAAATGTACTTTAAAGGTGCATTGTGTAATAATTCACAACCTCACCACTAGATGCCACTAAAACTTACACACTGCACCTTTAATAGAATATACTTAAAGGATAATTCCGGTATTTAACACTTTGAGTCTATTTTCTAGTTTGTTTTGGATGAACTAGAGTGGTGGACACAGAAATGTTGACGATGGGTCCTGTCCCGACTTTTTGACTATTTTAGAATCGCCTCTGACCGCTTCAGAGTGGCTGTCTACCGGCATGCTCAAACTATCCTTAAAACAACCCTTAACGCTCGTTTTCAAAACTGTGCAACTCACCGAGTGGTCAGTGATGTTTGTTGATGATTAAAAACAAATATATCGGCGCAATGTATGCTTTCATCCCGTGTTATTTGCTATAGTGGAACTATTTTTTCAGATACCTCACAACCGCGTATAAACTACCGCTCGATATTTGAGTCTGAAGCGTTAGCACACTCCCGACCACTTGATGGAGACAACCACTTTGCCGCAGTTGCTCAGCTCACGCTAGCCTTCTGAGAGACGGAGAACCGAGCGAAAAGACTACAACCAAATGTAAACAGACCCCTTTCCGTTTCCGGTAGCGCTGTAATATCAACGAGCACTGAGTCCTCCAGCAGACATCAGGCGATTTTACAAAATGGCAAATAAAACACGACAGAAACTGTATTTCGCTACGCTACTTGTTTTGGAACATCAACTACAACACCACTAACCACTCGGTGAGTTGCACAGTTTTGAAAACGAGCGTTAAGGGTTGTTTTAAGGACATGTTTGAGCATGCCCATAGACAGCCACTCTGAAGCGCTCAGAGGCGATCCTAAAAGAGTCAAAAAGTCGAGACAGGACCCATCGTCAACATTTCTGTGTCCACCACTCTCATTCATCCAAAACAAACTAGAAAATAGACTCAGTGTTAAATACCTGAATTATCCTTTAAGTCTGAATGTAATGTTTCCATATACTTAACTGTATGTTACTTGCAATTAAATCAAATCTATTATAGTTTAAATGTATATTAAATTAGTTAGTTGAATTTTGTTGTGTTTTTTGATCCACTTAAAAACATCTTAATATGTAATTCCATAATTACTTCTATTAGTGGCGGTTCTACATTGAATTACACCCTGGGCGAGACCCCCTTCGAGCGCCACCCCCCCCAGACCAAAAAAAAAAAACAGTAATAAAATCACATACCGTTCATTTTAAAAACACAGTAAGAAAATCCAGTTATTTGATGATCACACGTTGATCTGATTGGTTACAAGGTCGTTTGTGACGTCAGAAACACCAGCGATTTCAAACCGTGTTTTTGAGACCGTCTTTGGTTCACTGCAGTTTTAAGGAGGAAATACTCAGCAATGCTGTCGACTTATGAATTTACACATGGTTTGTCTTAAAGCGTATTAATAACACCACATAGACACATAAACAACATTAAACGCTGGACTTTCACCACAGGGGGACTTTAACTAAAGGCCGCTTGTGAAAAAGAAGTGCGCTTAATTGTACTGAGTGAGCACATCTTAATGTTTTCCCTGTTGTGTGTGTTTAAGACGTGTCACGTGTGTCATTAATGTTGTGTTTGCTGCAGCTCATAGGGGTCCGTATCCCAGATCACCCGTTCATGAGACGGCTCTGTCAGATGTGTGGCGAACCCCTCGCGCTCACCAGCGCTAACATCAGCACTCACACCAGTACGGTTGCTGCTAGCGTAAGCACAGGACTCCACAACTCCCATTCAGGGCTGCACGATTAATCACAGTGAAACCGCACGCGATCTGGCAAAGGCTGCGATTATTTAATGCAGTTTGTCAGTGAATCACGGCTGATCCTAGTAAATGCTTCTCCATCTGAACAGTCTCACACACACACACCACATATCCCTCTGAACACCAGAGGGCGTCACACACACACCACATATCCTTTTGAACACCAGAGGGCGTCTCACACACACACACACCACATATCCCTCTGAACACCAGAGGGCGTCACACACACACACACACCACATATCCTTCTGAACACCAGAGGGCGTCTCACACACACACACGGCAAATATCCCCCGCAGAAGTACGCTAACGCACATCACTCCAGGAAACCCCTGTGGGCTTCATAGTATCTCTGTATCTGAATAAACAGAAGAGGGAAACGCTTTGATTGATTAAACACGACTAATAAACACACGACTGCCTTATTCTGTGTGAGAAGCGCATCACCTCACAGGAGGACGAGCTCAGCTGTGCTTATGAAGGGAGTTTGGAGTAAAAGCGTGTTATAAATGTTATCTTTTGTTGGACAAGAGGTTCATAAATGCGTCTCGTGTCTGGAAAGATGTTTGACGTGTGTTGCTTTTTCAAATGCACGTTATAAGCGACTGAAACTCGCAGTGCTTTCAGAGTGAGCCGCGTTTACTGAGCCGTGCTTCACTGACACGCTGCACATGACTAATAATCACAGCCTTTGCCACTTCAACATCACGAATAGCCAACTCGATTTAAGTGCGATTACATGTAAATGTCGATTAATCGTGCAGCCCTAACTCCCAGTGCTTTCTCAGTGGGCTTTGGTCTGGGTTTGACTTGTGTGTGTGTGTGTGTGTGTGTGTGTGTGTGTGTGTGTGTGTGTGTGTGTGTGTGTGTGTGTGTGGTGTTCTGCAGGAATTTGAGGATCTGTGGCCCAGTCTGGCGGTGGTGGTGGACGGAGGCCCGATTGGACATCAGAACCGCTTGGGTTCGACGGTCGTGGATCTGTCCGTGTGTGGCCGATACCGGATCATCAGACCGGGATGGTGAGTGACTCTTATTAACTCGTTCATTAGAAACTCGAGTTGCGTCCGCAATCGAACGCTTCTCTACTATATAGGAGGCAAGAACAGAGTAAGATGAAAAACTCTTGTGCAAGTCTGCGGACGAGCTTCTGCTTCCGGTGCGGTTCAGAACCGCATCCCATGAGGCCACAGGAGTGGATGTAGTTCATCTAAATGCCATTCATACAATATAAAACACACTTTTTAAAGGTTTTGAAGTGTTTCAAACCAAATGTAGTGCCTACTATACAGTATGCGGTTTCGGATGCAGGTTTAGTATTAGGGCTGCACAGTATATTAACATTATTGAAATATCGCAAATTCGCCTTTGGCTAAGCCACAGCCTAGAATGTAGATTGACCAATCACAGCGCAGCCAAGAACGAGCTCCCACAGTGGTCCGACACTTTTTCACAGCGCTCCATTGACTTTAACACAGGCGTCTCATATTTTTGGTCTCGGCCGGCTATTACCGTCGTAGTTTTATCTAAAATATGGTTAAACGTTGTGCCTGGGGCATTTGTAACACAGATACGCGTTTCCCAGAGAGGTTGGAGGGGGGTGTCCGTTTTTTTCCCTTCCCAAACCGAAGTCAAACCCTGACAAGTGTCGTCTAGCACACGCTGCTAATAATACAACGTTATACTCGCGTGGTCCGTTTGCTTCGTAATAACGATTGTAGAAGTGAATAGAGACCTACCCAGCTTTGCATGAACAGATATTGTTAGTCCCAGCCTCCGTCTCCATTAGTAGGATATGCGGTTGGTCATTTTTTTACTGTGATCGGTATGCTTTTGCCTCTGTTTGGATGCCTTGTTGTTCCTTGTGTTTCACCTGTATGTCGTGAATATAGCCTTCGAACGTATATTGCAGCCGCTTTTGCCTACTTCTATCGGCACTTTATTTGCTGCTGTATAAAAGTTTGATAAAATTTCAGCAGGAAGAGCTGTCACAGCATAAGCCATGTTGATACCAGAGCCCAGATGAAGTTTGTTTGTCGGACGTAGCAACAGTAACTAAGGGGGGCGGGGCTTAGCCAAAGGCGAATTGACAGCAGTGAGTGATTTTATCTCTGTCTTGTTGTTTAAGCAGGATTATTAGGCTGCTGTCACTTTAAGACAGGGTTCACCAATCTCGGTCCTGGAGGGCCGCTGTCCTGCAGAGTTTAGCTCCAACCAGCTCCAACACACCTGTTTGAAAGTTTCTAGTATGCCTAATGAGACCTTGATTAGCTGGTTCAGGTGTGTTTAATTGGGGTTGGAGCTAAACTCTGCAGGACAGCGGCCCTCCAGGACCGAGATTGGTGAACCCTGCTTTAAGAGCTGCACGGATCCAATATACTGATACACACACGTTTTCTATCTCAACTGTTTATGTTCACCTAAGACATAAGCGACTGTTTACGAGGATACTTACCAAAACGGCATTGCAACATGTTTTACAGGATTTATTTATATTTAAGGAGAAAATACTCAGCAATGCTGTCGACTTATGAATTTACACATGGTTTGTCTTAAAGCGTATTAAAAACACCACATAGACACATAAACAACATTAAACGCTGGATTTTCAACACAGGGGGACTAAATGTTACTCTCATCTCACCACACACTCTTTCACTGTTAAAACTAAAGCGTCTTCTGTGATTATTAAGCCCCACCTCCTTTGATCTGATTGGCTGTCTCAATCATTTTTTATTGTTTTGTCATCCTAACAACAAACAGCTTAATCAAGAATGTCAAATATTGATATATTAAAGGTGCCCTAGAATGTGAAATTGAATTTATTTTGGCATAGTTAAATAACAAGAGTTCAGTACATGGACATGACATACAGTGAGTCTCAAACACCATTGTTTTCTCCTTCTTATTTAAATCTCGTTTTTGAAAAACACCCCTGAAAAATAGGCGAATCGCCACATAACACCGACTGTGACGCAACAGTCGGGATCATTAATATGTACGACTCCAAAAATTTGCATATGCCAGCCCATGTTCAATGCCAGGCGAAGCATGGCAGTTGCTCAGTGTTTGGATGCACAAATGAAGACAAAAGTATTTTTTAGTTCCTTCATCCGAGCCTCTGAAGAAACAATGGGTTAATTTCATTTTCTCTGGAAATTTCCAAACATTTCACCGACGACTGTTTCCTCAACTTGGGCCAATACAGAGCTGGCCTCAGATCGAGCTAGCAAGCCGTGAGAAAAAAAAAAAAAAAAAATGGGAACTTGCATGCGGTTTAATATTTATAAGAGTCAATTGATTTTACCTACCAATCATATGAGAGTAACGCAGCTCTAACTAACGTTACAAGCCTATCAGAAGCAGAGCGGGTCCTGGCAACACAGTGTGATTGAGATCCATATACGTCACGTTAGCGTCGTCGGTAAAAGCATGGAGCGCAAGTTCATGAAGCCTGGGGATGATGCCCTACCAGAGCCCGTCTATGGACATTCTCTGGTCCTACCCACAGGCGTGATTTCCTATGCGGACAAGGGGGACATGCCCCGCCCACTTTCAAATTCGTTTATGATTTTTAATCGCACGCCGTCATTGCCACGGAGGAGCAGGACCGAGCCTGTGTAAAATAGCTCACTGAAAGTTCTAATGCACAGGTATAGCGGTTGCGACCATAGACTGTACAAAAAATAGATTGAGACACAGCAAGTGATGAAACGCCAGAAACAACAACAGGTGACTAAATCTAATGTCATCATGGATGAAAAGAAAGAAAGGAGATGTGAGTTGGTTGATTCAGGAAATTATCTCAGGTCAGGATAATGGATAACTTCAGACTGTTAGATAAATATTTAATGTAGAACATTCTGTGTAGCTGACTAAAAAAACATTCGGTGTATAACGTTAGGCCTACCATGAGAACGAGTCCACTTCAAACCGCCAATATTTTCTGTCAGCAATGTATGACAAGTGCTGTCAACGTTAACGCATGCGATTCATTTTTGTCCGGCTTTAACGTGTTAAAATATTTAATGCAATTAACCATCCGTTCTTTCTCTCATCCTTTAGCTAGGATTATGATCACGCTCTTATTCACGCAAATGCTTAAACCATTCTCTTTCGCGCCTGAACGAAGAACACACACATTAATGCCAAAATGTCCGTTTTGTCGAGTATCCTCACAAGAACAGTCTTAAATGAGTTAAATAAAATCTTAAATGGAAGTAAATAGTTGTGAGAGAATGAGATGCGTGAGATCCTGTCAGCAGAGGCAGATCTTAAAGTGACAGGAGCCATTAATTCTGTCTGTCAGTAAAGTTAACCGAAAGAACAGAGGGAACAGAGAAAATTACTCACTGCTCTTGACTAAAGAACACTTGTAGCTTTGATAAGGATTAATCTATATTTCATTTATAATTTATGCAGTGCGGACTGTTTTATAACCTTATTCAATTTCTGTATGGTACAGGTAAATATGATATTTATTATGGGTTTAAGTGAGGATTGTTGTAAGTTCACCTAAATTAAAAGTTTTATATTTTATAAGCCTAATAAAGCCTAATTTGGGGGAAATTAGGCTTTATTAGGCTTTAAATTAGCCCCCCCCCCCAAAAAAAGTTCAGGCTCAGGATTTTTTTTCACTTTAACCCCTGTGTACAATACAACTAAAATCTAATACAATACAAATACAAAAGAACACAACTCAACACACTATAAACATTATACCTGGTTGAAAGCTATAGATAAAAGATGTTTTTTAAGCAGATTTAAATGTGGTAGAGAGGAAGCAAGTTATTCCAAAGACTAGGACCAACGACAGCGAAGGCTCGTTCTAGCGATCAAAAGCACACAGGATTACAGGATCTCAAGGACCTGTTTGGTTTATGGATGAAATTGCATCTGAAAGATAAGACAGTGATTTATTATGTAGAGATTTAAAAACATCACCTTATTCTCCTGTCGTCTGTCAGCGCTCTCTCGGCTACAGTGAAAGTCCTCGAGGGCAAGCATGGACTCCTGGAGGATCCCGGCGATCCGTGAGTTTCAGAGCGGAGGGTCGAAGCGGCCATGAAGAAGAGCTTCTCTGAACCGGCTCTTGTTTCTGCGTTTGGTGCCTCTGAAATCTTCCTCTCAGGCGCTTGGATCCACACACACGTCTGGGTCATTTAGACAGCTCTCCACTTACACTGGGTATTACATGATTGGGAATATTATAATGAACGAGTTGATTGCTATGTTAAAGTACAGTAATACTGTAGTTTTTTTAGTTTTGTTATTATTTATTGCAGTTTTAAACTCCAGTGATTGTCGAGTTCGGAGGAGTCCGTTGTTCTCTGGCAGAGCGACAGTCACAACCCGAATCTGACATGAACTTTTATTATTACTGTTTTGCATTGTGGACCAAAGCAAAGTCAATCATCTTATTGCCTTCTTTTTCTTTTCTTTTTGCAATAGTCCCTCACATTTGGTTTTTGAAATTAAAATATATTATGTCCTTGCTGGCTTTGTTTCATTTTATTTCATACATTTTATTTTTATTATGCCAATGAATTCATGGTGGTTCTTGGTGCTGGTTGTAAAGTTGTTTGATCAATAAATAATGCATAAATAGTTATTTAAGCACATTCCTCTCATTCTTTTAACTAAAATTGAAAACTCAGTTTCAGGCATAACCCTTTTACAGCGGTGGTTGATTATGATTCCACTTTTCTAACTTTAGTTAGTGTGTAATGTTGCTGTTTGAGCATAAACAACATCTGCAAAGTTACGACGCTCAAAGCAAAGGAATATATTTGCATTTACAGAAATCGTTTTTAAAGGACTACAACAAACGGCTGGTAGAACTACACGAGCTTCCTCACGGGTTAGTGACATCACAAACCCTAACATGTACATAAGCCCCGCCCCCGGAACACACAGTCCATGTTGAGAAGAGGAAGAGTTGTTTTAGAAGAGCACATTTGTGAATTCCAGCTCAAGCTGTCATCCGTCTGTTCACATGCAATAGAAAGTCACTCTGTGTGCATCTTACAACAGTTCCCACACGAGCAATTTTATAGATTATCATGACAGAATGTGTTAATCAAAGACTTGAAGATAGACAGTTATCTCCACATCGGCAACATACATTCATCAACTAACCTTTCAGAAACATCCTGTTGCTCTACGTGTCACTTCTTCTTGAGTCTCTCCATCTTTGTCTGACTCAGTTTTAAACATAAAAGGCAGAACAGTTTCTGACATTTCAGTGCATGTCTGTGTGAGGTCATTGGAGCTGCTCGCTTACACACACACTCACACACACACACACACAAGAGCTGTTGAAGCTCCGCACGTTTTTGCTCACCCTCAAAAAGGAACAATTTTAACTTGCTGTAAAAAATGATCTGTGGGATATTTTGAGCTAAAACTTTACAAACACACTCTGGAGATAACAGAGACTTATTTTACATCTTGTTAAAAGGGGCATTATACCACCCCTTTAATTCAGCTCTAAATATCTTACATTGGGAGTCTTTGCCAACCTCTTGTGGAAAATAAATAATATAACATGATATTTCATGACTCTAGGCCTTATGGTGCGTTCACACCGGACGCGAATAGCGCGTCAGGCGCGAATGATTTCAATGTTAAGTCACTGCAAAGACGCGTTACGCGCGTAAAAAATTCCTGCGGCGCGAATGAGGCGTAGAGCGCGGCGCGGTAGACGCGAATACGCCTCATTCGCGCGTCAAGTTCGCGCGAATGAAGCGTCTGGCGCGTTAAGCACGAATGATTTAGTTAGTGCTATTTGTGCATTCAAGCATTTGACGCGAATGAAGCGTCTGCCGCCCAAGTTGAAAAATCTGAACTTCTGCGTCAATTCGCGACGCGTTAACCAATCAGGAGCCTGCTTGCTGTCACGTGGTGAAGTATCTGGATGCCTCAATACATTATTTTGTATACTTGATTTAAATATATGAGACATATTCATTTTGTATTGAATGCTTTTTATTCCATTTCTAGATTATATGAAATATTATTATTCTAATGTAAAGACAACCAACATAGTACATAATTATTCTAGACCCGACGGTGTCCGGTCTGTTATATTTGACAGATTAGGTTGGTGAGGGCGAGGGTGATCCTCGCTCCGATGCGGGACAACAGGTCATCAAACTGGGCGCGGGACAGGCGGAAGTACCGCTGAGAGCGGCCGTCATCCAGGCGCTGCTCCTGGAGCGAGGAAATGGCGGAACTCGCCAAACTGAGTTTGCCTCCGAATGGTCTGGTGGACCCAAATACAGCGACGATGATCCGTACACCGCTGTTCTGCTTTTCAGAGCAAATACAGAGCGGTGACTCTCTCGATAAATGCTCGATCAACATAAAAAAGATGGCCGCCAACAGATTTCGAATCTGACGCGTAAATTTCGCTTCGAACTTTTGTTTTTATGCGCGTCAGTTTCACTCTTGACACGCGAATTAACACAAAGTGGTCAAGCGTCAAACTAGACGCGGTAGACGCGAATTTGACGCGCTATTCGCGTTCGGTGTGAACGCAGCATTATAGCTCTATATGGAGCAGATGAGCTGTTTCTCTGGGTCCTAAAGTCAGAAATCTCAGTCAGTCAAAACTCCTCCAGTCATTTTTTTTCTTTTGTGTATTTCAGAACTCTTTAATTATTTTTGTCTTTTTCAAAAAAGTGACTAGAGAACAATTTTTTTGCAACATTTAGCAACTTTTTGAACAGGCTGCATGTAACCCCACTTATTCAATAGGGAATAAATATATTATGGCTAATTATGGCTGTGTAGTCAGACTGTTAGTGGATTAGTTTACCTCACTGTTGTGGAAACATCAGGGAATTTTAAAGTTGTGATTGTTTTCTTCAGGCATGGACAAAACATGGAAATACATTAAATACATCCTTCAAAACATGGAATTTTTCTAGTTCTAAAATATTTGTATTGGCACATTTCACTAATATTCCACGTTTCTTTTATTTACACTGATTCCTTTCAAATGTCTTTTGGTGCAATAAACAATCCTCAGTTTGTCTTCCTTTTCCTTGCTCAAGACCATTCTAGAAAGTTTATTTTAGTAGTTTATTAACACTTTAAAATAAAATCTTTTAAATGTATTTTGAAATTTAATAAAAATGTAATTACTACTGTTACATTCTGTCTGCTTGAATGCATTTGTAATGTTTTTATGTGTGTAGATGTAAATACTGTCTAAGAACTGTATCATGTATAATGAGTGCTGTAGCTCATATAGGAGTTCACTGTGGCAGAAACGGTATAATCAGACCTGGGTACTTTTGAGAAACTCTTCTGTTTTTGACTTGCTTTACTCAACAAAAAAAAAATCTCATAGTAACAGCAATTTCTTAATTTGTTGATAACTTTGATATGAAATATAAGGCTCAGCCACATCAATTGAGAAAAAACCCTCCTATTTGGTGTTTAAAAAATGTAGAAAAATGTGGTGGAAAAATTGTGACCTAATCGGATAAAATGGAATAAAAAATAGTAATTAAAGCTGCAAGCAGCGATGAAAGGGGCCCTCGCACCCGTGCCACCGCCACCCGGCGGCTTAAATAAAACAGAGCACGGTGGGCAGTGCGTAAAAATAAGAGGACTATGTTAAAGTAATTTGTATTTGCCTCACTTCTTACTACCAGCAGGTGGCGCTATTACTATAACCGAATATGAGCATGGTCATGTGTTCAGGACAGGACTCTTATCAAACATGTGAAGTTTGGGGCAGATCGGACATTGTATGGCTGAGTTACTGCAGGCTGTCTGTGGTTGCCTAGCAACACCGCAACTCCAAGCAACATTTACACAGAAATGATCTGACGATGCATATTTCACCCTAGGCTGAAATTGGGTTTTGCACATCTACATTTGTCAGGCTGCCGAGGCGAGGTCACATCCTTCGACGAAAACTCTAGATCTTCGCAATTTAACGTCGAAAAGGCTTTAGGAATAGACTGACAAAAAATTATGTGGATCTGATTAAATCTCTAGGAGAAGTTTGTTAAAGTACAACGTCTGGAAATTTCAAAAACTGCACAAAATCGGAGAGGAAGTTCAAAATAGCTCACTTCCTGTTGTGTTTAGGGCTACGCTCCAAGATACTTTTTTGGTAGGTATTGGGTCATTACATGTATTTACCAATTTCCATACCTTTACGTGAAATGTAGAGCCGGGGCAATAATGTAGAGTAGGCAATTAACCCATTTTGCCCCACCCAATTCTGAAACCCATATCACACGTAAATTTTCACCACTTCTGAAGCATGTGCAAAGTTTCATGAGTTTTCAAGCATGTTTAGGCCCTCAAAAAAGCGATTCACTTTGGAGAAGAATATTGCCATGTAATATTCTCTGTCGTCACTTAAAAAAAAAATATATATATATATATATATTGTGTGTGTATATATATATGTTTATATATATAGCTGCGAGCAGCGATTGCGGGCCCAAGCCGGTGGCCTTTAGTTACGCTAAAGTTACACTAAAGGCACCGGGGTGGCGGTGCCACCGGCTTGGGCCCTCCATCGCTGCTCACAGCTATATATATATATATACATATATATATATATACACACAAAAAATATATATATATAAATGACAACAGAGAATATTACATGGCAATGCTTAGAGGTTGGAATAATGGCACGATGCACCATTTCTCCACTGGCTTTTACCATGGCAATGGAAGTAATCATTAGGGCATCAAGATGGGTAGTAGGAGGAGAGCGCTTGGCTTCTGGGATGCGACTGCCACCAATACAGTAAAGGACCTCTACTGTAAAGGAATATTGCAGCTGCCAGTCTCTGCTTTAACCGAGGAGTTTAAGTGCGCCAAGGTCAGACTGGAAATGACCTTAGTAGAGTCACGCGACAAATGTGTCAGGGAGGCAGTCCCTGTGTTAAAAACTGGTAGAAAGTGGTCAGCAAAGAAATCTGTGGTAGAGGCAAAGGCTGCCCTTCAAATTGGGGATAGGGGACAGGGACAGGTAGAGCATGAAAGAGGGGGTTTTGGGCTCAGTTTAGCTCCTCCTAAATGGCACAAGGCAGGCCCAGCTCAAAGGAGGAAGCTGGTAGTCAACAAGGTGCGAAAGCAGGAGGAGAGGATGAGGTGTATAAAGGCCATTTCACAGGCCAAGCAGGGAGAGTGGATGAGATGGGAGAGTGTGGAACAATGCAAAATCGGCTGGCAAGACCTTTGGTCAATGGAAGAGAGTAGGATCAGTTTCCTTATCAGGTCAACATATGATGTTCTCCCATCACCACAGAACCTAAACCTCTGGGTAGGAGAGGATCCCTCTTGTCCTTTGTGTTCATCACCTGCCACATTAAGGCACATTTTGACAGGATGTAAGGTGGCTCTTAGCCAGGGTCGGTTTAGTTGGCGCCATGACCAAGTACTGCGATGTTTGGCTTTAGCATTAGAAGGCAAGCGTAACATGACCAATAAGTTGCCGCCTGTTCTAGCAAAACATTACACACAGAAGACAATATTCCTCCGCCCAGACGAGCAACCACCAAGAAAAGGTGTTAAAACCAATTCTCGCCCAGGACAACTGGACGCTGCTAGGGACTGGAAGATGCTGGCTGATCTTGATCAACGGCTTATTTTTCCACCTGAGATTGCCACCACTAACCTACGACCAGATATTGTTTTGTGGTCTGGATCAGCACGCATTGTTCAACTGATAGAGTTAACAGTGCCATGGGAGGATGCGGTCGATGAGGCATATGAGAGGAAGAAACTGCGGTATGCTCATCTGGCCACTGAAGCAGAACAGCGAGGATGGAGAGTCCAGGTTTATCCAGTGGAAGTGGGTTGTCGAGGATTTGTGGCACACTCTACAACCCGGTTCCTCAGAGACGTCGGATTCAGTGGCCAAGAGTTGCGTCGCACAGTAAAGAACTTGTCTGAAGCAGCAGAAAGGAGCAGCAACTGGCTGTGGTTGAGACGGATATATTCTAGCTGGCTGTGTACAGGCCGCCATGCTACGGTTTTGTAGAATTCTTGAAAAACTTGAAGAGTCTGTTGGTTTATTTGTATGGTTTGCATAGTAATTACAGTTATTACATTCCTGTGTATATTGTGTGAATAAGGGTTGGTGTTTGGGCAGATATTGTGTTTTGTGGTAGGTAGTATGCCATACGGAACCGTTGCCACTGAACTGTCTTTAACTTCACATTGTAGAAAAGCGTCTTCTGGACATGACGCTGTCCAGTGTCCACAGGAATCAGCTGCAGTGTATTAGGGGGTTCAAGTTTTCCCTGTGTCTGCGTGCGCAATAAGTGTGCGGGCAATATGCTAATGTTTCATCTTGACGTCACAAGAAAACGGCTTATGACTCGTTTTTAAAAAACGATTAATTTCATTGACTCAGTCGACTCTTACTTTTGAAAGACAATAACTTTATATAAGGTGCACTTTCAGATTTAAAACTTTGCAGGATGTTTTCATTCACTTAAAGCTATGTTACACACTACATGAAAGGTCATTTAAAAAAAATCCATAATAGGGGCACTTTAAGTTTTAGCGCCATGTTGCATTGATCAATACGACATGTTGCATTTTTATTGGCTAGTCAGTAGATGTAGGTTTTAGCAGCAACACACTGTGAGATGACCATGACACTGTCAGTAAATTATCACAGGCTATCTTTGATCGTAAGACCGTGACAATGGCGTCTGTGAACCGCTCTCACTGTACGACGTTTAGGAGCCACGGCCACAGAAATCACCACGATTGTTTCACAATGCTCATCTTTAGTCTGGAACGGCCCTACCGGGCATTAGATAGAATAAATCTTTTTGTAGGAGACTTTGTAAGTTTGCAGATCTTATACATGCACAAACAGCAACATAACACACTAAAGAAAAAGGAAAACATGAAAACCTTTAATACATTAATACAAATGTAATACAACTATTATTAAAAACATATATACACTCAAGCTTCCATTGTTTGTTTTCCAAAAGTGAGCTTATGAGAACTTTTTTTTCTCATAATTATGAAAAATTAATCTTTCATTAGTCTTCGTCTCCCTCTGCTGATACAACACAAACAACACATTTAGGCTCTATATTTTCTCCAACAAAACTCCAACCTTTTTGAGTTTATACTCTGCGTTTATACAAATAAAATGGTTATTCTATGAATGAGAAACTGTATTTTGCTGCTGTGAAATAAAAGGTGTTTCACTGCCGCCTCATCAGGTCTGTCAGAGGATCGTGGAAATCTAAATGAAGTCTTAATTAATAACAGTGAAGTCACTGTATCTTCAGTCTCTGTTGATTCTGTTGACTGTGAGTCTCTGTAGTGGATCCTTATTCACCAGATGATCAGGAGAAGATCAGACTGTCATCTATACCTAAAATAAAACACACAGTCACATATGCAGAATGAGATATTACATCTTTTCATAAGAAAACTAACTAGATAATCTATATTAATTTATTCTCAAACATGATCATATATCATGCCTAACCCTCAAAAGTCACAAAGTCACTTTACAAAAATCAAAGTCACTTTACAAAATCAAAAGTACATGAAAGGTCACTTTCACACAACGGACAGCTGATACAGAACCAGCCGAAATCATCATTACACTCACTACAAAATTAATATCAGCATTTTTCAAATATTGCCAGTGGGTGGAGTCAGGCTCTAACCAGGGGTTGAGTTACCCTTTAAGTGTTATAAAATGAATTGAAATAGTAAACAAAGAAATAAAACTCTAGATAAATAAAAATACGGAATTGTAAATTTCCTCTGCGTGATATTGCTATCTCACGCTTTGATGTTTGTGATAATTCTGTGGTACTGATAGCTATTTTCTATTTCTAAATAAAAAAATTCCAGATGGAACAAATGCTTCAAAGAAATTACAAATTATTACACCGCAGGATTAAAAGAGGTCGAAAGGATTTTTTTTCAAAGAGCCAGAAAGAACAATTATGCTATCGTTAGCGTTTTAGGCAGGTCGTGTGTGGGTGAAATACCTCAAGAAGATGATTTTTGGAATATAATATAACACAGTGACGCCGAATAAGCATTTACCCTATCTGAGAGAAATGTAGCGGCGCGTTGATCTGCCAGTGTCTTCAAAGGAAGATTATAAACGGCGAAAGCTAATTGATTACACACGTCGACGACTCTGTTATTTTGGTGGTTTGCTTCACGATGCGAGTACAGGACACTTTTACTTTATTGTCCCTTGTTGGCTGACATTTTTAATTTGGCTAAAACAATATGGAGATAAGCCGATATGTTTTGTCTTCTGCTTCTTGATTCTCGCGCCGTGCGTTTGGTTCTCATGACAATGACGTAGTTTTAGAGCGGCACAAGTTTGCGTTCATTTACACTGAATCAAAACAATATTCAGACCATCATATTATAAGTCTGCTTTTATGCGGCATTGTGTCTTTACACAGAACTTTGAGCAGACACAGAGCCGCTTTAGAGCAGCCTTAACTCGGCTGTGTAAAGATGCCTATAGAGACAGATAAAGGGGAAAAGCTGAAAATAACATTAATATTATTTTCACAATCAGTCACAACAGTATGAGCAGAATTAAACTCATATTAAACACAGTTTAAAGTTCAGAGATCTACAGAAACTGAAGCTGAATTTAAGACTCATTATCTGATGATCTAATCTTATGAAAATATGATGATGAACATCGTTAAAAACTATTCTTACCATAGTGTCTCCAGTTTATAATGTGGATCATCCCTCAGATCCTTCAGCAGCTTCACTCCTGAGTCTCCTAGTTTATTCCCAAACAGATGCATTGTTCTCAGGTGTGAGGGGTTTGATCTCAGAGCTGAAGCCAGAGCAACACAACCTTCATCTGTAACACCACACCTACTCAACCTGTAGAGAACAATGACACACATTAAGCCTATATCCAGAGATAAACATGACACTTAAAACAAATAAAACCACAACATAATGCTGTCAATATTAAATATATACAAATACTCATTAGTTCATATTGTGAAAATACATCAGTTAGGATTAGGGGATTGATTATAGAGTTTGTACAGTGTAAAAATCATTAATTCTATGGAAAATCCCCATAAAACATGGAAACCCAACGTGTGCGTGAGTGTGAGTGTGAATGTGCTTTAATGCTTAATGTATTTGTAAACAATTTAAGGAACGTGTGTGTGTGTGAGAATGTGCTTTAATACTTAATGTATTTGTAAACAATTTAAGAAACGTGTGTGTGTGTGCGTGAGTGTGCTTAATGTATTTGTAGATATTTTAAGGAACGTGTGTGTCTGTGTGTGTGTGTGTGAGAGAGAGAGAGAGAGAGAGTGTGCCTAATGTATTTGTAAGCATTTTTAGGAACCTTGTGTGTGTCTGTGTGTGTGTGTGTGTGTGTGAGAGAGATAGAGAGAGAGTGTGTGCCTAATGTATTTGTAAACATTTTAAGGAGCGTGTGTGTGTGTGTGTGTGCTTAATGTATTTGTAAACATTTTAAGGGACATTGTGTGTGTGTGTGCTTAATGTATTTGTAGCCATTTTAAGGAGCGTGTGTGTGTGTGTGCTTAATGTATTTGTAAACATTTTAAGGGACATTGTGTGTGTGTGCTTAATGTATTTGTAGGCATTTTAAGGAACAGTGTGTGTGTGTGTGTGTGTGTGTGTGTGTGTGTGTTTAATGTATTTGTAAACATTTTAAGCAGGGGCGCAACTACCCAGTGTTAGAGGGATATGCAGCAACAATTTTTGTGTTCTTTAATGTTAAATTCAGCAGCCTGGTGCACTTTGAGAGTTCAAAATTAAAAGCTGCAACCCATATTCAGGGTGCAAATTAAACAAAGAAAAATTCAAACCTTTTAGTTAGTGTCTGTCTACATTACACTACTACATAATAATAGTTATAATATTAATCCCATGATAGTAATAGCCATATATTGTAAAACAAATGCACTGAAATAAAGGAAACTTTCATAATTAGTTTTGTACTAATTTCTATACTTGAAAGATATAAGCACTTGATGACATGTTCCATGGGCCGGTGTGTCCGAAAAAAAAACTAACGCTGACTTTTTTTGACCAATGCATTACACCGGCACTAACCCAGCGCCGCCAATTAAGCAAAAAAAAAAAAAAAAAAAGAGATGTATCGGCCGAGAAAGCACGTCGGCCCACCGGGAATCTCCCGGTAGTCCCGATGGCCACAGAGATATAGATAGCCTACATGCCTGGATGTCACACTTCAAATCCTACCTGTTGGCTTACAGCATGCACTTATTTAGCTGCTTTCGCATCAATTGACATGCCATCTCCTTTTCCCTCTTTCTTTGTCAATTTTTAGCCCCCCAGCATTTTGTTTTATCCATCTTTTTCGACGACAACTCTCGTACCTGCTCGCTCAGCGCTCACGGCGCCCCCGCCCGCTCGCGATATTACCCCGCCCCCCTTCTCCATGAGGGCGCCTACTCTAGCCTGTTAGTCCTCAAAAATTTTATATAACATTGAAGAAATGCAGAAATGATTTAGAAACGCACAACAGCAGCTACATATAGAAAATACAATATATATTTTTTTTAATTAATTTTTTTTTTACCATCGCTTTGGCGCCCCTATGCGCCGCATATAGCGCATACCCACTTTTTGCGCCACTGATTTTAAGGAGTGTGTGTGTGAGTATGCTTAATGTATTTGTAAACATTTTAAGGAATGTGTGTGTGTGTGAGTATTCTTAATGTATTTGTAAACATTTTAAGGAATGTGTGTGTGTGTGTGTGTGTGTGTGTGTGTGTGTGTGTGTGTGTGTGTGAGAGAGAGTGTGCTTAATGTATTTGTAAGCATTTTAAGGAACATTGTGTGTGTCTGTGTGTGTGTGTGAGCAGTGTTGGGCAGTAACGCGTTACTAGTAACGCAGTTACTTTTGACAGTTACTCATACTGTAACACATTACTTTTTTAAATAAATTAACTCCGTTACCGTTACCATATGGTGCGTTGTCCGTTACTTTTTTAAATTAATTCATTTTGGCTGAAGTGTAACCTACAGCCTAACCTGTTTACAGCAGCGACGCATTGTAGGATTGGTTACCACCCGTCCCTTAAAATACGGAATTGTCCCGTATTTACAAGTAAAATTATGCGTCCGTATCAAATCAATAAGGGATTCGATTTGTCCCGTATTTTACCCACACATAGCCTAGTTGGATAAAAACATAGGATTTACTATACTAAAAGCAAATAGCCTATAAAGAAATCAATTTCACAATAATGTTACATTATGATTAGAATCAAATTAATTTTGTCCATTTTCTAAGCTTAGAAAAATGCACACTTATACGGGCTGAATTTTATAGGCCTAAAATATTGTTTAGTAATTATGTGAATTACACTGCGCAAACTACTACCCACTGAATGAAGAAGGGTTGGCTCTCAGTCTCCACAGAACAAAATATTCATTTTATTTTATTTTTAGAGTTCACATTTATGAGGAAAAAATAATGTTACGGACGTGACAGTTCTCCGTTACGGACGTGAGCGCTCTGAAAGCGGCACTCAAAGATACTTTAATACTTTCACAGAGACATCAAACAGAAAGCACAAAACCTTTCTTTAAAGTGAATTTAGTTTTGTATTAATTATATCTTAATTTTAATCAATGTTTCATCAACCAATTGCCTGGATTTAATAAATAAGAAGCAAATATAGCAGACGATAGATAATCACCAAACGGAGGCGCCAGCGCGTGAACTGGAGCTTGTCTCATAAATGAACCGAAACTCAGCACATAAGGTAACCTACTTGCCTCACGTCTACTTTTAAACAGAACAATTCAAAACGAAAGAAAACAGACTACAAACTGCTCTCTGCTTATGTAATCCGTAAGAAATGTGCATTTCTCTCTGGTGCGTCTACTGCGAAGATCGCGAGTCATAGCGAGTCACCTCAGAAATCCTTGTGATATATTCAGTTTGTGCTGGTCTGACTTAAATAAAATAGTGTTTAAAAATTAATTTCTGTTTAAGTCAGTTTTGTGTTTGTATAGACCATAACGCATAAAAGGGCATTAATGGGAACTTTAAAGAATGTTTTTTTAAAAGTAACTAAAAAGTTACTTTTAACAGTAATGCATTACTTTTTGGTGTAAGTAATCAACAAAGTAATTGAGTTACTTTTTGAATGAAGTAACTAGTAACTGTAACTAGTTACTATTTCTAAGTAACTAGCACAACACTGTGTGTGAGAGAGAGTGTGCTTAACCCTCTGGGGTCGGCAATCACGCCGGCGTGATCTGCTCGCTTTTTTTCTTATCAGTGCAAAACAAACTCAATATACTCTGTTGATTTTGATCTTACATATAAGTGTTACACATCATTCAAAACTGTTAAATATCTTATTTTATTTGTGTACACTCATAATAAAAACAAAATGTTGTGTTTTTCATAAAATAAAGAAAATAAACATGATGCGCGTTCTCCCATCTCTCTCAATGTGAAGTTCATTCTGAAACGCGACAGAAAATGACCTATAACTCAGCGAATGCTTGTCACTGTGACATGAAACGAAGCTTTAAGCTTGAAGTCTCCATTTTTAAATAATATCATATCAAAAACAAATATTCTCTGTTTAAGTAATTCGTATGAAAGCAACGACATGTACAGTTTCTCCAGCCCAAGCTGATTAGCGCTAATGTGACCACACCCACACGCGCAAGAGCTGTTCACATGCAAATGATCCACGCGGAGGAACGCAGAGCTGTTAGCGCCCTCATCACCTCAAAACAAAGAATCAGCGACTTCAGTACTGCTCTGCTTTTCATCGAGTTTAGACTGTGTTTGGGCTGTGCTGTTTACCTTGGATTTACCTCAGAAGAATTACAAGAACACGATTTGATTATGAGAACGATTTTTAAGGTAAGACACTAATAGTAGCATGTTATTGTAGCATACACTTTACATTGTAGCTAGTTAAACTGGTGCCAGACTAAAATGTACGTTATGAAATGTGATTGGAGTAAAAACATGAAGCCTAATGCTAAATGTACACTCACCGGCCACTTTATTAGGTACACCTGTCCAACTGCTCGTTAACACTTAATTTCTAAGCAGCCAATCACATGGCGGCAACTCAGTGCATTTAGGCATGTAGACATGGTCAAGACAATCTCCTGCAGTTCAAACCGAGCATCAGTATGGGGAAGAAAGTTGATTTGAGTGACTTTGAACGTGGCATGATTGTTGGTGCCAGAAGGGCTGGTCTGAGTATTTCAGAAACTGCTAATCTACTGGGATTTTCACGCACAACCATCTCTAGGGTTTACAGAGAATGGTCCGAAAAAGAAAAAACATCCAGTGAGCGGCAGTTCTGTGGGCGGAAATGCCTTGTTGATGCCAGAGGTCAGAGGAGAATGGCCAGACTGGTTCGAGCTGATAGAAGGGCAACAGTGACTGAAATAACCACTCGTTACAACCGAGGTATGCAGCAAAGCATTTGTGAAGCCACAACACGCACAACCTTGAGGCGGATGGGCTACAACAGCAGAAGACTCCACCGGGTACCACTCATCTCCACTACAAATAGGAAAAAGAGGCTACAATTTGCAAGAGCTCACCAAAATTGAACAGTTGAAGACTGGAAAAATGTTGCCTGGTCTGATGAGTCTCGATTTCTGTTGAGACATTCAGATGTTAGAGTCAGAATTTGGCGTAAACAGAATGAGAACATGGAACCATCATGCCTTGTTACCACTGTGCAGGCTGGTGGTGGTGGTGTAATGGTGTGGGGGATGTTTTCCTGGCACACTTTAGGCCCCTTAGTGCCAATTGGGCATCGTTTAAATGCCACGGCCTACCTGAGCATTGTTTCTGACCATGTCCATCCCTTTATGGCCACCAT